GAAATTACGTATTTAATTTACTAAATGAAAGAAATTACCCTGATAAATCCTGATGTTGTCAGTAAATCGAGGAGCGAAAAAAAGGAAGTTTCTGTGCCTTGTTTATGTAGTCCTGAATAGAACCCCACCTAGTGGGTATCCTGGCAGACAAGGTGGGGTAATCCTCACACTATGATATTACTTTCTGGGAGAAAAAAGTCTTTCCATTAGGAATAAAGGAATTGGTTGTATTATCAATTTTACTGATAAAAATGTTGATGCTTCTAAAAATTAACTGTTGTTATATTTGAATGGAGTTTTATATACTCTCCAGATTTTGGGGGAAAAGCTTTCAATCAGGAATAAAAGAATTAGTTTCTTTATTAGTTTTACTTAAAAAATGTGTATGCTCCTAAAAGAGGAGTTTCGCTTCTGTTCGTCTTAAAAGCGGTTTTATTTAAAACTTGTTTTATTTAAAAGTGGTTTTATTTAAAAGTTGTTTTATTTAAAAGTGGTTTATTTAAAAGTGGTTTTATTTAAAACTGGTTTTATTTAAAAGTGATTTTATTTAAAACTGGTTTTATTTAAAAGTGGTTTTATTTACAAGTGATTTTATCTAAAATTGATTTTATTTAAAACTGGTTTTATTCAAAACTGGTTTTATTTAAAAGCAGTTTTATTTAAAACTGGCTTTATTTTAAACTGGTTTTATTCTATATGAATTTTCAAACAACCAAATTTTTTTATGATTATTGCTGAGGAATTTGCCATACCTGTACACTTTCGGCCATTTTCTTCAATTCGGAAATCTTCATCGATAGAGCTTGGTAAATTGTGTAGTTCTTGAAGTTTTCTACAATGGTGATTCCATTCATTTGTGTCTCCTCATTGGTTAATAAATGCTTCAGGAGAAACAAATAAGCACGAACGACCGTGTCATGGGAAAACATCTCTCTTCTCCAGTCTCCAATGCTAAAAAGTAACACAACTTCACCCTGAAATTATTTAAAAATTTATAATAGAAACAAAACTTGATTAAATATGCACTAAAAAACAAATACATAAAATAAAATAATGCTTTTTTTTTTCAAACTACTGGGTAACTGTTACCAAGGTGTGCTCATAGTGTAGCGGTTATCAGCATGGATACTGGAATTGGCATACTGAGTTCAAATTCCAACCAAATTTGTTGTGATCACTTTCACACAAATACCATTGAGAAAGGCAGGAATGCAGAAGTATATTTTATGAAATACTTTCTCACAGATGTGATGTGACTTCCCTCTACCTTTTCTACAAATATTTTCATGGCTACTGCTCTGATGAGCTTTTTTTCCCTGGCGCCCTAACTACGTGAATTTAAGCATGCTACTAGATTGGCATTTAGGTCCCACCCACTTACTGTTAAATAGTTAAGTATAACCGCCACTTCTACTCCAAAAATTTCTTTCCTTGCACTTCCCGACATTGGAACTCTCTTCTTCTCACTTACTTCCCAGATAACTACAATCTTCAAAAAGTTAAATGCAGTGTCAAACGCCATCTTCTGTTGTAATCCCTGTCCTTTTTTCCTCTATATATATATATGTGTGTGTGTGTGTGTGTGTGTGTGTGTGTGTGTGTGTGTGTGTGTGTGTGTGTGTGTATATAATAATGGACTCTCCCATCGGTTTCGACGTATCTGACAGCTTATTGATTCAGTTATGAAATTTTGTGCGATAATCTTAAGTGGCATTTAAGACCTCCCTCCTCTGATTACAGGACAGGTTGACGTGGTCAGTTGAAGGTTTGATCCAGAATATGTGTACAATTGTCCTCGCATTTGTGGGATAAAATTCGAGGTGTGTGTTTCGACATGAGCGTTGACTTGGGGCTGGTATTGTCTGACATTGATGTTCATCAATATTATTTTATATTGGTCCCACTGAATCCGCGGTGTCGTCAATTTCAATTTCTTCTGGTTCGTTATTCGCGGTATTTGGTTTAATTTGTAAGTTGGACGATAAGAGATTATAATCCATATCAATTAGCATAGAGAATTTATCGCTGCAGTCGGACCCCAGGACCTGCAAAGGTATTATACAGTCCTGGTCTAGTTGTGGTTAATCTATTTTCCGTGGTGTTATCTTGAACCGGCTGTAAATCGGGGTGCCATGGGGTCGAGTGACCCGCTCACTGGGTAGAATGTGGGAACAACTGGGTGGTTGCATAGAGTTACCCGATTGCTTCCATCCACCCACACATAGTACTACCGGTTACTGAGTATCTCTATGATTCTCCCTGTTTTCGTCCACCGACGAGAGTAAAGGCCATCTTGATTCTGGATCTGAACAGAATCGCCAATTTGTAATTCCCAAAATGGGCGACAATGTTCATTGTAAAAGTGTTCGTTCCTCATGTGTCTTTTAGCCATTTCTGCCTTTCACCAATGTCTCTTCACTGTTCATGCATCTGGTATTTGTCCCGTAGGACAGGGCGGTGGTCCTTGATAGCATGACCGTATAACATCATAGCAGGAGACATGCCAAGATCCTGGACAAGAGTGTTGCGTTGGGTCAGCAAAGCACGGGCTGCACGATCATGACACAGCTGACCACAGCTGTTTGTGTTGTCTGCGAATACACGCTTAGCCGTTTTGACGGCCAGTTCTTCCCGGCCTTGCTTTGTGGGTAAAAGCTGACGAAGTAAAACTGGCAACAATAAACTACAGAAAAACTCAAAATTGATCGCTGCATTTAAGTATTGCATTAATATTTAAGCTTACCTTAACATGAGATAGCGACGAAGTACGCTTCCGGATTTCCCAATTCTTAAGGAACAAGCAGTATTCTTGGGAATCAAAAGGTGGTCCCCCGTCGGAAGAAAGTTCTTCAGGTGCACCATATATGCAGAACCAAATTCTCAGGGTGTCGCATACTTCCCTGCCATTCCCAGATTACATTAGGGCCACCTCTACCTAACCAGTGTACAGATCTGCATATATAACATAATTTCTACCGTGTAAGTCGAAAAAGTCAGTCGCGGTTTTGTTGGAATGAGAATTCAGTGTTAGACGGCGACATCAATGATTTCTTACGCTGTGACGGACGATAGAGTTACATATCTGGCATTGGCCTCCGGTCTGTCGGATGCTGACATCCAAACCAGGCCCAAAAGAGGCACTGTCTCACATTTGCTAGCATGACATTTATATCCTGATGTAGGGATTCAAGTACTTACGCACAAAGTTGTCGATGTATAAGGATTTTATTCTCCTTGATCGACACTCCTTCAACACAGCACACTCCCTCGCGCATGGGCCAAATTCGAGAGATCACTGACAGAAGGTCATGGCGTGATTTGGGGAAACCAGTTCGTATCTGTCCCATCAGAGTCCGCCATTCTTCATCAGTGGGTGCCGTGGCAACGATCCCATCCCATGTGATAGCCCTCAATCTAGGGTCATGTTCGTATGTGGACATAAATGCAGCTTTGATTGCACTGTTAATTGGTTCGACTGCATCAGTTGTAGTCGCCTCGTAGAATGACCGTCGCATCAAGAACGAAAGTAATGTCCAGTGGCTTTCCTATCATGGGGTGTAAGGGTTGGTGTGTGCATGTATTAAATGCGCTGGACTTGAAATGGTCACGTATCGAACATTCCAGTAGGTGCCTGTTGGTTTTTCTCGAAAGAAACGGGTTAGTATTAAGCATCGCTGGAATGGGTTTTCTGCGTGGGCGTGTGCACAGGGCATTTTCCTTTGTGCCCTTCAGAGGGTTGAGCCGTGATGTCTGAGTAATCAGGTGGCAACAGATGTAGGTCTTTCAAAGCAGATTCTGATAAGTAAAAACCAGACATGTTGTTTGACACATACACCACCTGTCGTTTCTACCTCAAGCCAATTCTTATATGCATGAACAACACGCCCTTTATATGAAGTTGGTTGTCTGTGATGTCACGTATTCGATGGCTAGTTGGCACGAGATACTCGTCTGGGTACCTGAGTAGTTTTAATATCTCTGGTTCACTTGAACAAGTTTGAGCCCCTGTATCGGCGAACGCGAGGATGCAATGACTACCGTGGTTAATCGGACAAGTCTGGGTGTGTCCAAATGAAGCGTGGGTTTGATGCCTTCTTGTCATTTCTATTGTTGGTGATGGCGGTGGATTTGAGACACCTCCTTCAAATCACTTTCCATTCCACGCAATATGAAGCACAGCACCAAGCGGCGTCAAACCGGTTTTACGGCTCCATTTTTGATCTGCCAGCATACCGAATGACGCGGGTGGTGAGAACTTTCACACTAGTGCTTGAGAGAGAAAAGGAATCATGCACTGTCTCGCACCTTGTTGATCTGTTCCGATTTCATTTTTAGTAGATTTCTAGCATACCCTTTTTACGTGACCCCTAACCCCGCAATTATGACATGCCAGTTTAGCTGCTCTCCTACTAAATGATCCACCTGGTTGCAATGTCTTCTTGCAACGCACACAAGGTTCTTATTCGGCGAAGAAACGGGAACAGTATTTCTTCGGTATTGTCGAAGGGCACGGCGCTTGTGGCCAGATATCTGTAGGTAGGACGAGGTTAACTGGCTAACATCATTTAATAACCGTGCAGCTGACTTGTCCGTCGTTTCCAAGCTGACGAGTCGGTCGAACTTTTACTCGAAGTTGATGAGGTTGGCAGACTCGGACAAAACTCGACTTTGGTGTTCCTTGTTGGTGAGTCCCGCAATCATCTGCCCAGTTATTATGTCGTATGGGTACTTGACTTGCTGACCACAGCATACTGTGTTGGAACAATAATCTGTGAACGAGCAAAATTGGGCTGGAGCTCGTAGCCTTGCTAAAAAAATAAGGGATTGACTCATCTTTCGCCTGACGTGTGGAATGAAACGCCTACCAATGCTCTTCCTTTTGCAAGTCCTTTACCACAACGATTCGGATGTAGGAGAAAAGCCTTTCCTCCGTAGCCGAATTTAAGGTTTCAGCCCCTATAAAGTCAAAAAGGAGCCTGTTGACTTCGGGTCAGCATGTCGTTCTTAATTTGTTGCGTATTTCGACTGGGTTGGTAAACTTACACATCTCCTTATAATGAGTCCAAGTGTCAAGGAATAATGCCCAGTCGTTGTCTGTTGTGTTAGGTTCAATGACAGGATGGTCTTTGTGTGTGTGTGTGTGTGTGTGTGTGTGTGTGTGTGTGTGTGTGTGTGTGTGTGTGTGTGTTGGACGTTTGCGTCGCGTTAGGGGTTCCGTCCCTCTGAAGCGCCATAGTCTCCCTTTGTAGCTCTTTTATTTGTTTCATGAGTTGAGCAATCAAATCGAGGGTTCAGATGCCAGATTCATATTTGTTAATATAGTTCTACGTATTCACCAGATCCTGTTCGCAGCACCATGTAAAATAACCACGACATTATTTCTTCAGGGTTGTCGAAGGGCACGTCCTAGGTAGGACCAAGTTAACTGGCTAACATATAGTTTATATAACACTGGACGAGGTAACATATGTCTGTCTGTGGAAGTTTCCTATTATCTAATGAGACGTTCCATTTCTACTCTACATTTATAAGGAAAAATCCTCGGAGAATTTAAATCCTCAAATTTTGGCTGCTAAACAGGACCCCAGTTATAGAAAAACTACTCTGAATCATAAAATAAAAAATCCAATAAAACTAAAACATTATTTAATTAGAATTGCGTTTTCTATTATGGACATTATTGTCTTAAGAAAAATACTTTTTTCGATTAATAATGAAATGTTACAAGAACTGTTTTCATTTTAAAAAAATTTAATTAAAATAATTTATAAATTTTAAAATTTAAAAAAATTCTGTACTAATTTGTATTTGGTCAAGTGATATAGGTATTAAATAAAAACTAGATTTGCTAATCATTAATAGAAAAGCTTTCTACAATTCAGCGAGCCCAGTATTTTAAAAAGAATATTGAATTTGTTTTTGTGCATTTTGTCTATAAACTTGTTTTTGTCTATAAACGTGCCAATTTTTGTAAATACGGAAGTCCATACACAACATTATCAGAAAATAAAAGCAGTAATTATAGTAAATTTTAAATTTATTGGTAATTTTCTAACATTCTTGTAAGTCTATAAAGCCAAAGTGCCTAAAATTCAATAAAATATTAGAATGTTTAAAATATTTCATTTTTTTAATGATTACTGTGTATTTAAAAAAAAAATTTCCAAAAATGACGTGTACGTTGTATTTATCATGTAATTTTCCTACAAGTATCCCCGCTTAGATAAATCTTCCAAACATCAGGTTGTTGATAAATGTGTCAGTATCTCATCCACTTCCATGTTAAAAGTGTTTATCTGCGGTATTTTAAACTTTAAGTAAGTAATATTTGCTTTAATTCTGATTAATTAAACTTTAAATGAGTTAATTTTTCTTAAATATACTCAGAAAATTATATTTTATTTTTGAAACGTATATTTTTTATTATTTTTTTTTTTTTTTGTGTGTTGAGAGATTTTAGCGATTAAAAAATACTCATTCCAATCAATTTAAATTAGTTTTAAAAAGTATTTTGACTATTATAAATATTAAATTTAAAAATCTAATGGCTTGAAATTAAAACTAGAATAAAAGCCTCAAGAAAGATTGTTTTTATTTTTAAAATGAATTTTAGAAATTAGGTATCGCTTCTTTTTTGTGGGATTAACTTAGCAGAAATAACAGTTAACTAGCCTAAAATATGCGGGATTGAAACAGGAAAGTAAATCACTCACACAAACACGAAAACTATAACGAATTTGATAAACAAAAAAAAGGAAAGCCTATCCAACACCTACGAGAGAAATATACCAAATTTTGCCCTGTGTGTTCCCTTTTAAAAATACTGTTTTAAAAAAAATGCAAGGGAAATAACTCTGCAAAACTGCATAAAACACATGCTGAGTAGCTTCCCTTGCACTGATAAGCAAAGTGAATCTTATTCAGATGTTGATTTTTCAATAGTTTTGCATTCATTTATTGCGTTCTGATCGTAGCGTTCGGGTCGTTACATTCTACAACCCATTTTAAGATGAAAAAAAAATGATTATAAAAATGAATCATAAAAATACTTCATCCAAGCGATTCAGTCAATTAATCAACATCTAGAAAACGTTTTTTTTAACAGCGGTTGAAAAATGTGCCACCCAAATTCAAAGATACATTCCAAAAATTAAGTGAAGTACTAAAAAGTAGAAAAATTTCATTAGAAAAAAAGGAAAGATGGATGGGGTACTTTATCCTTTGATTGAATCTGATAATATTTTTACCTGATCTCCTCTTGATGGAAGAATTCCTGGGAAACCATTCAGTAGACAATCTCGAACTGATTCCAATGTAAGATTCTCTGTTAGTTCAGGATATTTTTGGCAGAAGTTTAAATGCCCTGGAAATAAATAATAATAATAATAATAATGATAATAATAATAATAAGGGTACGTTGGTGTGCCGAGAAAACAACAAGAAACAGGCATTCATTGTTGACTTGTGTGTGGAGTAAACACTTGCTCAAATTGTACACCTTCCCTATGCAGTGCAAGTGAATGACAGCTTCATCAGAAACCTGTAAACATTCGACAAGCTCACCAGAGGTTTTCTAACTCTATGGTCGTCTTTAGGGCCTTATCATATATGACTTGTGATTGGCCATAATTTTACCCCAGATCAAAGCAAAAAAACACAATCAAATTTCTTATAGAAATCCATTAGTCATGAACTGGCACTGAACTTCTGCTGGAATTTCAAAAATACTACACGACCATGACAGCTACGAACGCATTGAGAAAATATCTGCTTTTTAAAGAGATTTTTCCCAACTTGCCAATAGTTTATTTGAAATGAAATAAAAACACAAAACAAATTTTAATAAATGCAAGTGTTCACACTCAAAACTCCATTCAGCTGGAGAGAAATTGATCAGAGATACAAGCAAAGTGTCAGTTCAAGCTCAGCTCTAAAGACGGTTGTCCTTAAAAGGTAGGGCTGAGGTCTGCACTTTGTAGTGATTTTCCAAGCGTAGCTCAGATGTGGCACAAGGCCGAAAGTATGGGGTACCCAGTGAGGATCAAACTCACTACTCGAGGTCTGCACTTTGTATATCTTTCACCTTATCCTTTACTGATTGTTGGTATTTCCTCTCTCTGATCATCATATGAAGGTGTTCAACTGCTTAATTTTCTCCCTGTTGGGGATTGGGGTAGGCCGATGGTCATGGGGTCTGGGAATGTCACACTTAGCAAGTCACCAACATGCCTCAAAGCTACTTTTCCTGCACCACACATTGACAAAGTATCCTTTGTGGCTTAGGAGTATTAGGGTTGCTTTCCCTGACTTTACTATAACTCCTTTAAAGCCAAGGGTTGAGTGTCCAAAAGGCTTTCCCCAAAGACTCTCAGTAGGCCTTGCATGTTCCTCTTTGGTCAAGTGACCTTTCAAGGCCTATGAAGACATTGCATCAGGCATTAGTGGAGAGAGTTATGTCAGACCTGCTATGTGGCTGGCTTGGTTTGTCCACAGATGAGTTTCACTTTTTCTCACCCTGGGCACCATCTTAGAAATTCTAAGAGATTTGGTCCTGAATGCTTTGCCTGTCAATGACGTGGGTTTCAAGGTGACCTTGGCAGACATACCTGATTGCCATTAGTGTGATTCTGGGTTGGAAGAAACGGCTGAGCATGCCTTCTTCCACTGTCTGCTGGCACAACCATTAGGGTTCAGATTGGAAAGGTGACAAGGAGTATCGATGCCAAATATCTTGTGTCCATTTATCTGGCATATATGGGCAACAATGTGCTTCTCCCCATGGACTGGGGTGAAACAATTGTTATTACTCATGCTGCTTGCTATGACAAGAATAGTGCTGTGGGTAATGCAAATGGATTAAATCGTACAAAATGAACGCTATTCTCATCAGGATCTGATTGTATTCTCTAAGCTTCAGCTCAAGGTGAAGATCACAACTGATAAAATTGTCCTGGGTAAGATGATAAGTTACATTCAACAGCAAGGCCTCTGATCAGAAGGTTTTGATGAGTGTGAAACCATCTTTTAATTGATGGTGTTCCCAGGTCCACCCTAACTCGGGGTGGTAGCACCTTTTAGGGTCCCAGCTATGGGCAAATAGTTAATCCCTAAAATGGAGTCAAAACACTATGAAAGTGTAAAAATAGGTTTTAATAGTAGAAATACTTTGTAAAAAAAAAAAAAGTTATTACCTACAATACATTTAAAAAAAAAAAAAGATATTGCCAGCTATACATTTTTGAAGAAAAAAATATTACCAGAAATATATTTTTAAAAAAAAAAATATTACCAGCAATAAAAATTTTGTCAGCATTAAATAACCCATTGAGGTTGATATGCCGTATTACAAATCAAACCAAACCAAGCAAGCCTGTTTTGTGTGAATTGGGCCAAACTTGATTTCCTTTTTTAGCCTCTTCAAGTCACAACAAACTAGTCTTCTTGTCCTTCTAGTGTCTATTGTTCTTGGTCTCTACCTTTCCCAGTTTTTATTCCCATTTTTGTATCTTGATTTTTACACTTACACATTCCCATACTTTCTTCCCCAATCCCCAGTCCCACCACTAGTGAGTGAGTCACTTGATTTTGTCTGACAGCAGAATACAACAACAGCTTTCATTTTTGTTAGGTGAGGAGTACCTAAGACATTTTTAATTTCTTTCAAACTGTTCAGCTGATCTTTTTATTTGATTGTATGGTCCCCACCTTTCTTTTTCATATAATTGTATATATTCCATCACACATCACAAATTTGTATATATTCCAGATTGAAGAAGATGGCTGTAACAGCTCTTGGAACACACCCTACTAAACACTGCTTGTCAGAGCTGACTAGTTTGCAAAATGCAGTCAGGACGTGATGACAATTTAGAAGTTTGCTATACAATAAAGTTTTGTGTGAGCAAAAGAACAAAATAGGCTGATACTTTTATGAACCTTATTTCAGGAAGGCCATGTTCAGTGCTGCTAGTTTTGAGGTTTCAAAAGTTATTGCCCAACATGGGAAGCCACTCAGTGATGGGGGAGCATATTAAAGAAGCTTGGCTAGAATTCCTTTTTGGCAATTTTTCAGAAAAGGAAAAGATTATTCAGTGTATTAAAGATTTGTCTGTGAGTAGGAAAACATTTAAGGATAGGATACTTAAGTAGGAAAGCTGAACAGTTTTTTTTTTCTATTTGTGTTTATGAGCATTATGGACATTACATCATCAGCTAGGCTAGCCATATTTTCTCAATTTTGCAAGGGTGATGAAGTATGTGAAGAGATGGTTACCCTTGTAACACTACCTGAGAATACTACCATGGCTGAAATATGTAATGCAGGTGTGAATGAAGAAAACACATGGATTTAGTTGTAGATATCTGTCACAAGTGAGAGTCATGTTGATAATGGCCAGTACTCTGATATATTAATGTTTGTTTTGAGTAGAGTGTGGTGTGTGTGTGTGACATAGCTAGCTGAAAATTAGTGTGCAGTTAGAGATATATGTTTTTTTTAATAATTATATAAATTTGGCTTTAATTTGTTATCTCTATGTATAAATTATTTTTTTCAGCTTCATATGCAACAGCTACAAGCCTTTCACCACTAGTTATGCACAATCAAGAAACCCTTAATTGGCTTTCAACCAACCAGAGTGATGTAATGAATATGCATACACCTGGGTTCCCCCTCACAGTAATATGATTGGCTGGTGTCGGCCATAAATACAGACTGATGCGGAGGTACAGGATGACGCTTATTGGCTATGCCTACTGCCTATGCCTATTGCCTACCACTACGACGAGGACCAGTCCATTACGGTTACCTGCTAGATTGTTCTACTCAGTTACAGTAGTCCAAAACCACTTTGCTACTTCGAACAAATATATCCCTTTCTGGGATATATCACAGAGCATGACAAAAAAAGGTAAAGGATGACCCAGAATGATCTATGTAAAACATATAGAGAACATAATTACACTATTTATATTTAGACTGTTGTCCTAATCTTTGTTGTTGCTATCACAATGTTTTGGTCAGTGTGCCTTCTAGCCTTCCTTGAGGGTATATAGATCTGGGTAACCTACAGGGAATTTTGAACTGAACCCTTTATTATTTACACTATTTATATTCAGACTATTGTCATCATCTTTGTTGTTGTTATCACAATGTTTCAATTATTCTGCCCTTCAGCCTTCTTCAGGATGTATATCAATCTGGGTTACCTACAAAGAATTCTGAATTGAACCCTTTATTTAATCTACGGTGGTAGACAGTTCTTGTTCCACTGCTCATGTTTAGGGATATCATCTAGTTCTTATTTTTATTTAGCACTGGTCACTTGTTGCTCACCTGTTTCCACTGAGTGCAAGTACACACTGACCGACTCAGGGATTGAACTCACAAACACTATATCAAAAAATTCACAAGTCCATAGGAGAATTTGAACTGCAGGGAGCTGTCATTTGTCCTTCTTTCTTTATTAGTGGCTCCCATATTGTATTTATTTCTATGTTAGGCCTACTAATGATGTTATGGGGTCCACCCCTTTTTCATACAAGTGGACTCGACCAGTGTGTACTTGGACTGTTGCCATTAAATAACCAGATTCAATCAGAGTAGAGAAACGGTGATTGTGATTGAGTTGGAGGTAGAGTAATAGTGTGAGGTAACCGCTTGTAGAAGTCATAGTTACAAGCACGTAGACTCTAAAGAAGTCCTACTTCGAGGCTGGATTTACCAGACTGTATATATATATTATTATTGCTACTAACTGCATTTCTGGATCTACTAACCATATTACCAATTTTATTATTGTGTAAATACATTTATTTGCTATATTTCATTCCTGCATTTGTCATTCATTGGAGACCAGGTTTCATCTCGGAATCCACAATAAATGAGATCCTCATAGTGTAGCATATGCGCTGATTCTTTCAAACATCTAACTTTCCAATGTTCTTAACTGTCTAGTATTTTGACTTCATTCCACAGGGGCTGATGACTACCCCTTTCTCTCCATACATGATCAACCATGTCCAATTTCATTGTCTCAGCTCTCACTATGGCTTTTCACTGTTCCTCCAGCTTTAGTTTTAGATAACATCTTTTTTCATCTTTATATTCATTGCCACAACTGCAAAGAATTGAGTATATGCAATTCTTGGTTATGTTCTCCTTCATGTTGGGGACTGTTTCTGAATATTGTCCTGATGTTGTATGGTCCTCATCCTAGAAATTCAGACATAAAATAATGAGAACATCACACAGAAAACAGCTAGGGAACTGTGGATACATGCCTTGGACAGTGAAGAATGGAGAAGCATGTTGAAGCTGTGTGACCCACATACTTCCAATTAAAGAAAAAAAAAGAAAGAAGATAGATGAAAACTAAAGAGTTACCTTTCATCAGTTCAAATGCTTTTTCCACTTTAAACTTGCGAGCTCGAAGATACCGAAGCAAATGGTTATTATCTTTGGATCCAAAGTATTCCAAGACATTTCTGTCTGTCTCCATCAAGTCTCTTAACTGAGACAGAGATTCCTGGTGGCATCCTGGGTCTTCATTAATTTCTCTTTGAGCTCTTTCCAAAGACTTAGAAGGAATCACAGAACAACTTTTGAAAAGTTCTTCATAAAATATTTCCATAATAATTTTGGCAAAAAAATCTGGAAAAAGAAGGACAGAAATAAACATGGTTAATTTCTAATGGCAAATCAACATCTACAGGGGTTTTGTAGTTCTAGGATCTCAAGAATTGTGAAAGGATTTCAAATCTAATTCTATTTTTATTTGTTAAAATTTTTTGTATTCTGGTCCACCCAAAACAAGGTCCAAGAGCCACTCAAAGTAGAGGATTACTGGATTAGTGTTGTAAAGAGAAGAAATAAGCACAATACTCCATTATGGGTTGGATCTGAGTTTTGCAAAGGAAGATCATTGCGGGACGAATCAGATATTTTTCCGGAGCGCTACAGGGGACCAACAATTTTGCCATGACCTTTAGCAACGGATCACATATATGAGTTCCACTTATAAATAGTGACAGCAAATACTAAAAGTGTACATGAATTGGAAATTACTATTGAAACATTAGGTAAATTATAGTAATATGCAAATGCATTGCTTATAGGTTTACTATAGAAATATACTGTCAGTGATATTACTATAGAAATACATTGCATATTTATATTAATCCTTCTTTTTTCCTATACCACATCATAGATGATCATAACAATCCTCTACTTTGAGTGGCTCTTGGACCTTGTTTTGGGTGGACAAGAATACAAAAAGTTTTAACAAATAAAATAGATGATCATAGCTCTCCACAACTTTCAGATTTTGTTACACTTGTACCTTTACCGCCCCTCTTAGTGTTCTGCTACCTATTCAACATTTCTTTCATATGCCATATCCTTTCCTGACATAGGTGATCATGGCTCTCCACAACTTCCAGTCTTTGTTACAATTGCTCTTTTATTACCTACCCCTCTTAATACTTGTTATGTTAGCCATTCAATATTTCCTTCATATGCCATATTTTTTCTTGACATAGGTGATCATGACTCTTCACAACTTCCAGTTTTTTGTCACTCTTGTCTTTTTACTACTACTCTTTGTCTTTGTTCTGCCAGCCATTCAATACTACTTCTTTCATATACCATATCCTTTCTTGACATAGGTGATCATGGCTCTCCACAACTTCCAGTCATTTGTTACTTTAAGTAACACTTGTCTCTTTACTACCTCTCTTTCTCAATTTTCTGCCAACCATTTACTCAGATTCACCATCCTGGGTATGACTATAAACTATATCTGCATCTTGGGTAAGACTATTGTCTTACCGAGGATGCAAGGCCTCTGATCCAGAGATTTTAAGGAGTGTGGAACCACCTCTTAATTGCTGGTGTTCCCAGGTCCACCCTGACCTGGGGTGGTAGCACCTGTTAGGGTCCCAACTATAGGTAAATAGTAACCCCCAAACTGGAGTCAAAACACTATGAAAGTTTAAAAATAAGTTTTAATATCGGAAATACTTTGTAAAAAATTATTACCAACAATATATTTTTGAAGGAAAAAAATATCAGCAATACATTTTTGAAAAAAATATTACCAGCAATACATTTTTGAAGAAAAAAATATTACCAGCAATACATTTTTGAAGAAAAAAACATTACCAGAAATGCATTTTTGAAAAAAATATTACCAGCAATACATTTCTTTTTAAAAAAATATAACCAGCAATACATTTTTCAAAAAAAAATATTATCAGCAATACATTTTTGAAAACAAATATTACCAGCAATACATTTTTGAAGAAAAAATATTAACAGCAATGCATTTTTGAAAAAAAATATTACCAGCAATACATTTGTTTTTAAAAAAAATATTACCAGCAATGCATTTTTTAAATGAAAATATTACCAGCAATACATTTCTTTTTAAAAAAATATAACCAGCAATACATTTTTCAAAAAAAAATATTATCAGCAATACATTTTTGAAAACAAATATTACCAGCAATACATTTCTTTTTAAAAAAAATATTACCAGCAATGCATTTTTTAAAAGAAAATATTACCAGCAATACATTTCTTTTTTAAAAGAATATTACCAGCAATACATTTTTGAAAAAAAGATATTACCAGCAATACATTTTTGAAAAAAAGATATTACCAGCAATACAGTTTTTTTTTTTAAATATTACCAGCAATACATATTTTGAAAAAAAAAAAAATTACCAGCAATACATTTTTGAAAAAATAAATATTACCACCAATAAAAGTTTTTGTCGGCATAGGTGATCATGGCTCTCCACAACTTCCAGTCATTTGTTACTTTAAGTAACACTTGTCTCTTTACTACCTCTCTTTCTCAATTTTCTGCCAACCATTTACTCAGATTCACCATCCTGGGTATGACTATAAACTATATCTGCATCTTGAGGTTGATATGCTTATGGCATATCAACCTCAATGGGTTATTTAATGCCGACAAAAACAAACCAAACCATCACTCAAACTTGTCAAGTTACTCATTATTTTTTGCCTTCAGTACATACCTGCATGTTTTAAATTCTTCAAACCATTTTTCTTCATTATGTGTCTCTTTCTGATTGTTAGCAACAGTTAATTTGTAATTCCTATTCTCTTTAAAACTTCCTCATTTCTCACATAATCTGTCCATGGTATTCACAGAATTCATTGGTAAAACACGTCTGTCACTTCATTTTTCATCTGTGTAGAAGATTGTCCAGCATTTAATACCATACAGGTGATTAGATATTACATAACCGTCCAACACTCTTTTCTTTGCTTCTACAAACATTTTCCTATCTTTTAATGTTTTGCTTAGTTTCCAGAAGTCATCTTTCACTATGCACTGTCAGGTTTTTGTGTCGCTTTTTACATCATCTGTTACTGAACTATGCAGAAAGTTACCACCTTCATTACTGCATTGTTATAGCATTGTTGCCTGGCTGTGCTGGCCCGTTCTGGGAAATATAAGAAACTACCATTTACTGGAAATAAATGACTATAAAGATGATGATGGTGATTTCTCATGGACAGTGCTATTTTCGTTTTGATCCAATGCTCTGCAGTACAGACTGAACTGAATGACACTTGCAACACACAATATTATAGAAATGTGTCACAAAAATAGGTTGTATTGTATGCTACTCTATATCTACACTGGTTTGGAACCAGTGTAGTTTTGATTCAGACAAAGGAAGTCTTCCTACAATACAGACCCTATAATGGCTCTTGATAATGACTGCAAAAGTTAAAAGTAGTTAAACAAAAATAACAAAATATGGACTTCAGACAGTTTACCTACAACTGCAAGCTTAATACTCAAGACCTTATCTGAAAATTGAAAAAATCTAATAAAAAATTAAACAGACAGATCTTGGCAGTTCTTTGTTTGTATATATATATATATATATATATATATATATTTGTTATATTCTGTGCTAATAGGAATATATACTTGAAAAAGAAGATTGATAAAATAAGTAAAGGTTTATTGTGAAAAACCAGTACAATAAGAATAAAGGTAACAGTTATGCACAAAGTCGTCGCAAGTCAATCCAGTAGTGAGTGCTACTATTGGAAGGTTGGTAGTTCTTGTGTAAGTCTGAGTCGTACTCAACAGATCCCAACCAGACAATATATACCAGCCTCCCCACAAAGTAGAATGTGGCACAAGGCTGAATTTAATGTGGGGCAATCTGAGCGCATAGGCTCAGCAAAAAATTTCCAGTAACCCCACATAAATGGGTTCAGGTCTGTCTACCTCTCTGGACAAAACTCTGCTCTTTGGTATAGCCTCATCTGGGTTCCTCTCTGCCTGAAGTCAGAGAGTTTGACAACAGCCAAGATCTGAATAACAAATCCCAGCTAGTATATGTAGCTACCCTCCCACGAGGGTTGCATGTGGCACAAGGCCTGTTTAACATGGGTTCTCTGAGCCCATAGGCTCAGCCAAAAATATTCCCTTTTGAACCTGTATAAACAGGTTCAGGGGCAGTCCACCTCCCTGAATGAGACTCTGCCCTTTGGCAGAGCCTCGTCCAGGTTCCTCTCTGCTCAAAGGCAGAGAGTTCAACTGCTTAGCTGGAACAAGTCCCAGCTAGTATATTTTGCTACACACCCCACGAAGGTTGCACGTGGCACAAGGTCAGTTTACTGTGGGTTCTCTGAGCCTGTAGGATCGTCCAAAAATATTCCCTTTTGAACCCGTATGAACAGGTTCAGGAGCAGTCTACCTCCTCGAATGAGACTCTACCCTTCAGCGGAGCTTTGCCCAGATTCCTCTCTGCTCAGAGGCAGAAAATTCAACTGTTTAGCTGGTACAGGTCGCAACTAGACTCTGTAGTCCATTGACTTACAGATACTTATAGGTAGTTACTACCTATAGTGTAGTCACTCATGGGGGTGACAGGTTATTCCATTACATCAATTTTAAACAATGAATTCAATATCAAACTAACCTAGCAATTGAGAAGTCCTGAAAAAAGAAAAGTATCCTTCCTGACAGGAAATGTTGAATTGTTAGAATTCATCTAAGAAAGTGATTTCCTTGACAAAATAAGGGAATGCTGGTTTGTTACCTATCTTGATGAATATTTTTTGCTAGTAAGGAACATTTCTAGGCTGGTTGACATTAATTTCATGGCTTTAAAATAACGGGGACATCAAGTCAAACACATGCATCCATTATAAATAATGTTTATAATAATAAGATATAAAGTTGTCTTAAAAAAATCCATTTAAAAATTACTTTGTTTTCATATGATTTTTTTATTTGATTTAGTGGGTTTACAGCAGCCCCCCCCAACCCCCAACCCCACCACTCCTTTTATATATTTTTGTCAAAAAAAAAATAACAATTGTAAATATATCATGGTTGTATTATTAGGCCTACTGTGAAAACACAAAATTTTGGTGCATGTTCGAACCAAGTAGTGAAGGATGAGTTTTTATGGTGTTTGTTTAAATTGTTAGAATGCACGG